TTTGATTTCTATGCCTTGTTTCCCACTCTTTCCACTTTTCTTCGGTTTTCTTCAATTTATTTTCCATGTCCATTAGTAGTTTCTTTTCACATATCTTCATTTCTTCCTCTGCTATTCCCAAATTTAATTGAATTCCCTCTTTAACTTCATTTCGAACAAATTCTATCTCTTTATGGTTGCTCATCATATTTCTTTCTAGATCTTTGATATTTTTCTCACATTTTTGTATTGCAGTTTCTGTTTTTCCTATCTTCTCATTTAATTGTTTTTCTTGTTTGTCTATTCTTGTGTTTGTAACTTGTACATCTTTTTCCAGTCTTGAAATTTCTGTCTTAATTTCTTTTCTGACATCTTCTCTGATCATTTTAATTTCATCCAGCATTCTTTGTGTTTCTTGTCTTCTTTCTTGATTCTGTTTTTCTATATTCTGATTTAGTTTTTCCATTTCTTGTCTTCTTTCTTGTTTCTGTTTTTCTATATTCTGATTTAGTTTTTCCATTTCTTGTCTTCTTTCTTGTTTCTGTTTTTCTATATTCTGATTTTGTTTCTCCATGTTCTGATTTTGTTTTTCTATATTCTGATTTTGTTTTTCTATATTTTGATCCATGCTCTCTAATTTCGCAAATAAAATACTCATATATTCTGGCATTTCTTTACTTTTATCTCCTTCTCCTTTGTTCTCGATCTCCCGTTCTTCTTTCTTCTCTTCACTGTCATTTTCCTCTACATCTGTTTTAAATCTGTATGTCTCTATGTTCAAACCTTCTGCTTCCATTTCCTCTTGTAGTCTCTTCAATAAAATAATCTTATTTCCACTAGTGTCTAAATTTCTAGCAGCTAACTCTTCCTTAAGTTCTACCAGTTTCAATTCATAAATTGTCTTACCTTGTCCTTCCATTTTACTTGTTTTTTTTTTAGCTAGATTATAGTCACAAATTGTATTTACGTTATAATTTAAATATTTTTTTTTTATAGCTTTGCTATAGCTTTAATATAGCTTTGCCCCACGTTGGGCGCCAATTGTAATGATATATTAATAATATATGGGAATTAATTTATTTGGTTTCAATTGTTAGTTTATCCTGAGTTTTATATGAATTTATTTTTTTTTTATTTTTTTTTTTTTTTAATTTCTTTGACTGGACTATTATTCAATATTTTTTTTTTTTATTATTATTATGCCTGGTCTGTAGCTAGTCGAAGAGTAGAGATTCTAATCTCAGACAGGTGTTCTGCTATATTCTGCAAATCTATCTTATTCTTCTGTGATGAACTTTTACTACCCACCAATAGATGTCTTAACCAAATTTTTTTTAAATTGTTATTTAGTTGTAAATCTTTTTATATAATGAAACACGAATCAGAACACAACAACTATAATAATGATTTGGATGTAAATGGACATATAATATTATCATAAAATGCAAAAAAAAAACAAGATTAACTAATACCTTAAATCTATTACCAAATCAGTTTCACTCACGGTAGATTCTAATTCCGTTCGAATGTTGGTATCAATGTATATCACGTGTTAAATAACTATAACGAAATGGAGACCTTTTAACACCGTGAGTGCACTTGTGAAAATTATTCGAATAATTTTATGTAATTGGTAAGTATTAATTTTAACATACAGTATATTTATTTACTAATATGCGGGTATATTATTTTAAAATATATTCAATGAACTTATATCACCCTAATTCGAATGATGATACCAAATTATAGACAGTCTCTGTTTTATTTTGGAGATTTACTAATTTCAACTGAACGCTAGATGCGTTCAGCCTGAAAAACGCCTTCTGAATTAACTTCTAAATTCCTACCATAAATTCACGTGAATAGAATATAACGTCTAAAGATCAAATATTATTTTTCTTATAGGATGCAGCAATGTATTTTCATGCACACGAAAGTCGGCTTTATGTGCACAGTGGCAAGATGTGACTATTATAACGGTATGCGATAACACATACGGGACCCTGACAAGGTAAATAGTTAATAGATTTATCTCACCAAATTATAGCTTCTGACTGTGTTATTTGTACTAGTGCTTCCAGTACATTAGATTCAACTTTTTTAAGCACCTTTTAATTGCTCCAATATGCTTTAATTTAATTAATTCACAAAATTTTCTACCATAACCTTTTTTTTTGTCATCCGGTCCAATCCGCCGGTCAACAACCTCCTCGCAACCGTTTTTTTTTAATCTCTCACTTTTTTTTATAACTAACCAATCACGGTTATGATATTTTTCTGTCAAACGTATTTTTCTTAGATATTATTATTTTATTGACGTGAATGTTATTTTTACGTATAAATAAATATTTTACAGCGATAGTATGTACAAAATTATTAATGGTTGTGTAAATTCTAATTTAAGTGTTTCTCATAATTCAAATTTCAATGTATACCTGTAATTTTGATTGGTTGTCAAAAAGATTTCAGAATGCAGAATCTGATTTGTTGCTAACGTAATTTTATGACATTTCATATGTCTCTTTGTTTTGTGACTATTTTATATACAAAGTGGTTCATGCTTTAAATACACAGTGTGATTTTGCAAACTACGATCGACGATTTCTTAATAAACATTTATAAATTATCAAATTGACATTGAATGATGTAGATTTAACTACCATGGAGCGTAAAATGTTTCTAATAGTTGACCTGAACAATATTTATAAATAACCATCTAAATTATACAAAACATTTATACAGAGTGATGATGAAATCATTACAATATCTATAAGTTCTTGTAGCTTTGACAATAAACATATATTGATTGACTAACAAGGTGGAGTTTGATTATTTATTTAACAGCCTACATTTATCGGACTTGTGCACAAATTGAAGATTAAGGTATATTATTCAACCAAAAAGTTACTTTTTCGGATTATATTGAAAATACAGTTGCTTCTGCGTTGAAAAGCTTAGGGTTCTTAATTCGTAATACTCGTTCTTTTACAAACTCTTAAAGCTTGGAGATCCTTTACTTTTCTTTAGTTCGTTCCAGGCTAGAATATGCATCTCTTATCTGGAACCTTATTTACAATATTCATAAAAGATCATTGGAAAATGTTCAGCGGCGATCTCTCAAGTACCTTTCTTTTAAAATAGATGAGCTGTATCCCATTCGAGGTATTGAAGAATCTCTGCTTCTTTCGAAAATAGAAGGGTAGTTTCCAGTGTTACATTTTTTTATAAAATATTACATAACACTATTGATGTACTATTTTTGATAAATTAAATAAATTTTAATGTTCCCCAAACAGCCATTAGATATCATAAAACATTTTATACAGCAAGTATTTGAACGAACTTGGGACGAAATTCACCTATACGGCTAATGTGCTCAAATTTTAATTAATTTTGTTCTGATTGGGATATTTATTTCGACCATTAGTTGTGCTAATTTGTAGCTAATGTATTTAGGATTCTTTCTTTTATTTTTTTCTTGCTGTTGCTAAAATTATTTTCTGTCGAAATATTATGTTTAACATTTATTTCATGTATTTTGTTCTGTAAATGGATTAATTTGTTGGGCAATAAAATTATTTTTATTTTATTAAGCAAAAAAATGTTTATTTTGATGCACCTACCACCTTTAAAAGTTTGTCAGTATATTAACGAGAAATCCTATATAATTCCCAAAGAAAAATATTTTTGGAATAAATTCCGAATTCTATTTATTGATATTTGTTATTTTTTAAGTTCAGTGACTTGAAACATGATGATCAGCTACACCAAGAATATCATTGATACTTTAAAAAAATGGTACGAGATTAAGCAGATTTGATGCTATGTCACATTGTGGTGCGAAGACGTGGCTTGTATAAATTTGGGGTATCAGTTGATTGAAAACAGTACGCAAAAATAAATTTAAATCTGCAGATGCATCAGAGATAGCCATATTCCATACCACAATATGTCATGCGTGAACTCGATGAGATTTCATCGGCTAAGTATCATTCCTCTGTAATGTTTTGTATCATTAGGAACACGCAATATTGTAAACAATTATGACCAGGGTTTTCTGACCTTTTCCCTAGGTCAGAGAGAATAAATGAATACTAAATAATGTATAGTAATAAAGATTGAAAATATATATACTTTTAAGAGTTTTATTATGTCAGCCATAGTTTTATACCAAAAATGAAAATAAACTGAAATTATACATTAAAAATACATTCATAAATAACTATATTTATAACACTCATCGACTCTCTCCTGGCTAAAATATGACTTATCTATCTATTAGGCTCTGTTCCGTCTATTTTTTGCCTTTAGCCTCCTTCTGACACTTCCATTCGTTCTTATTCAGTGTAGTATTCACATAGTTTTCAGAATATCAAGTGTTATACCTATCTGATGCTTGATCCTGCAAAGTTCATCTTCAGTACACCTGCTTATGTGACATCTATCTCGATGTCAAGTTTGATTGAACACCCGTTTCTTGCCTATTACTCTTATACTTAACCAGAACTAGCTTAGACTTGAACGCATATGTCTAATTCGGCCAAAACACAGCCTTGGTACACAAATATATATTTTACCGCTGGTTTCATTACAAAAAACTGGAGTAAAGGGTAAAATTATCTCTTGTCCAGTACACTCGTATAATACACTTGAGTATTGCCTATATTATTTTTGATTGAAGACGTATACATTTAAAAATGTCGTTTACTTAAAAATAAACATTTAATTTTGATATTTTATTTAACTCGATCAAAACATTAAATTATTATTTTCCATGGCTTATACCGGACCTGTATGTACTCTAGTAGCCATGGAGTAGCTGACAGTGTTGCCGTCAGTTGCCGCCACATATTCATTAGTGACATACGTTTTATAAATTCATCGTGTTAGAAATTTGTTGACATAAAGAGATAGAAATTTAAAGTGACGTCTTTTATTACTTCGAATGAAAAAAATCGATAATGCAATTTTCTAACCTAAAAACAATCGTGATGATATGTCAAACAAAATTGAACTTGGCCTTAAGTTGTATTTTTAAAGTTTTTTTTTATTGAAAACGTGTGAAAATGCAAAGACGGAATTGTAAAGTTGATTCAAAGTGGTTTTGTTATGTTTGCAAATCTTATATGATCAGAAAAACTGGCAAAGTTATTACTAATGTAATCAGAAATGCATATTTTTATTATTTTGGTTTCTCTGTATCAAACACTCACAAGCCGTGGGTACCGAAATTGTTTTGTAACGCGTATAGCACAATATCATACAAGTGGTCACGCGGTAAAAAAGTATGTTTTTCATTTTCATTGCCAATGTTATGGAGAGAGCCGAAAAATCATGTAGATTATTGTTACTTTTGCTTGATGAATGTCGTCAGTCTAAATGCAAAAAAACTAGCAAAATATAAATATCCTGAAGTATCATCAGTGTCTAAGCCAGTTCCTCATGCGAGCAATGATCCTTTGCCAATTTGTCCAGGTACGAGTGCAAATTTCATGGAAACTTGTAGTTCATCACCGACGAACAGTGGAAGCGATTTTAACATGGATGAAACATATTTAGTTTCGCAAAGTGAACTCAATGATTTGGTTCGTAATTTGAATTTATCGAAACAAAAATCAGAATTGCTCGCATCACGGATACAAGAGTGGAAATATCTTGACACTTAAACAAAAGTCACTGTATATAGAACCAGAAATGAGACGCTTTTACCGTTTTTCAAAAAAGAGGAGAAAAGATGCTTCTGCTATGACATCAACGGTTCATTTGATGCGATGAATAGACTATACGATGTCACATACTTTAATTACTATACGGTGCAAGAGAGGTCCGATACGCCCAACATAGGGCGCAGCCCACATACTTTGATTTTCTTTTACTATACGGAGAATGGTCGCACTGCGCAGCTTTCTGAGTGCCTTTTAAAAGAAGATAGAAAATTCCGCCATTTTGAACCCTTATTACGTGTTGCCTACATCTTGGCGCAATATTTTTAATAGTTGCGTTTTAATCATCCGCTTCTGCTTAGGAATTGTCGGTTTTCTTGTTTTAATCTGAGAGGTTAAAACGACTAAACCGACAATTCCGGAAGCAGAAGCGGATTATTAAAACGCACCTGATATTTTGCTTGCTGCTGTCAGTGTCAGTGAATATTATTTTTGGAGTCACAGTTTATTGCTAAAGAATCAATTAGCTAACTCGGACCAGTTGAAAGTTCCAAAATAACATCCACTCAAGGGATACAAATTCAGGATACGCAGAAGACTGCTGTTTTATTATAGGCGGTTGTCATATATTGTATTCTCCGAGTTGCGCAGTGTATAAACTGGAACATTGAGATCAAAAGTGCCGACGCAGACTGAGCGATCTGATTCTTTAGCTATAAACTGTAGCATAGGGATCAAAATGGCCGACTCCTATGTTGGGCGTGTCGGACCTCTCTTTTGCACCGTATAGTAATCAAAGTATGTGGCGCAGCCATTTTGATGCCTTTGCCATAGTTCAAGCTAAAGAATCAGTTCGCTCACTCTGCGTCGGCACTTTTGATCTCAATGTTCCAGTTTATACACTGCACAACTCGGATAAAACAATATATGACAACCGCCTATAATAAAACAGCAGTCTTCTGCGCATCCTGAATTTGTATCCCTGGAGTGGATGTTATTTTGGAACATTCAACTGGTCCGAGTGAACTAACTGATTCTTTAGCAATAAACTGTGGCTCCAAAAATAATATTCACTGACACTGACAACAGCAAGCAAAAAATTAAAAATATTGCGCCAAGATATAGGCAACACGTAATAAAAATGGCGTTTTCTATCTCCTTTCAAAAGGCGCTCAGAAAGCTAAGCAGTGCGACCATTCTCCGTATAGTAAGAGAAAATCAAAGTAGGTGTACGACGTAAATAAATGGCATTTGTTCATAGATGGTTCAAAATACATCCTGAAAGCTGCTCTGATACAAAATGGAAATATAAAACTATCAATTCCGATTGCTCATGCAGTACAAATGAAGGAATACAATACAATATATACAATTTTGACCAAGATAAAATATAAAGAGCATCAATGGAAAATTTGTGGCGATTTAAAGGTTGGAAAATAAATTTTAATATAATTTTAAAGAATAAATGATTTACATACTATTCCAACAAGTTATTGGTCTCTTGATGGGGATGCAATCTCGTTTTCTCAAATTTTGCTGTTTTTTTTTGTCTGTGGGATAGCCGTGCAACTGACCAACATTATGTGGAAAAAGATTGACCAAGCCGTACTAATTATGAATCAGGAAAACAAAACGTCTCTTCTATACCACTTGTGAACCCACAGAACATGTTCTTGCTATCTCTCTACATAAACCTTTGCCTTATCAAAAACTTTGCCAAAGCGCTCGACCGTGAAGGACCGGCTTTTGAGTACTTGACCAAGTTATTTCCCAAATTGTCGTACGCCAAAATCAAAGAGGGAATATTTGTCGAAAATTAATGGCCGACAGAAACTTTACAAAATGTTTAACGCCCAATGAAGCAGCAGCATGGGTATCATTTAAAGATATTGTTCACAACTTTCTTGGTAACCGCAAATCCCCGGATTTCAAGGAGATAATCGACAGTGTGTTGCAAAATTATTGGAAGATTGGAGCTCGAATGTCTTGCAAAATACATTTTCTGCATTCCCATCTCGAATTTTTTCCTGAAAACTTGGGTGATACAAGCGACGAGAGCAACTACACCAAGATTTGGCGAAAATCGAAAAACGATACCAAATATTTTGGAACGAGGGCATGATGAGCGACTACTGTTGGACTTTAATGCGTGAAACAGATCCCAAACAGTACAAGCGACTCAGTTCGACTGCTCTTCATTTCTAATTTAACACTTTTTAATGAATAAAATGGAGATTAATTGTCAAAAATTGTAAAAAATGTGTTTATTTAATATCTCGAAAACTAGAACCAATATAAAAAAACGGAGTGCAGATTCGGATTCAGCGCCCCAAATAACCTTAGAAACAACTTTTGGTTGCTTAAATCCAAAACCGTGTATACTTGTGTAATCATTTGTATTTATTTGTGTCATACTAAAGTTCCATTTACCTACTGACTTGCACTGAATGGCTTCTAAACCCTCCATATATCTATTCACTCTTATTATTTACAGAAAGTCCACATTTAATGTTTTTAATTCGAAGAAGAATCGACACCCTCAAATCAATAGAACTTACACTTTTGACAACAGTTGCCTTTTTTAATAACACAATGTGGATGTGATGGAAGGTAATTCACTTTGATGGTGTTCAGAAGCCACAACAATAGAGCAACACTATGTTTGCACCCACCTTAAAAGAATAGAACCATGTAATAGTATATTACACACCGAGGTGGGAATAGTTTCATTCTTGTCGTGAGATTAGTTAGATCACCGAGACGCGAAGCGTCGAGGTTAGCTATGATCTCGAGACAGGAATGAAACTTCATACCGAGGTTTGTATACTATTTTATTTACAATCATCATATTTCGATCAAAGTTGATAAATCTCTGTTTTGTTCTGAACATACCTAAAATATTACATTTAACGACCAATTACCAAGCGCGCGGTTTTCTCAGAATAATCAAGTAGGTAAATATATTGTTACTGTGATTACGGGGTAAACAACTGTCACCAATATAAATAAATGTCAGATAAAGCCGGATATTAAATTCGCGAATAATAAATATCAATAAGTAGTTTGTTATATTTTAGATCATTGTTGTTTTTTATTGTTTGTCATTAAATAGGTATTATAAAATTTGTCAAACACTGTGTTATTTTTTTTAATATAAAAAATATTCATCAAGAATAGATGAAATGAGGGCGGGAAGTGAGGGCGGGAAGTAGAGGTGTGTAATGTGACACTTCCCAACCTTCAATGACGTTAGTAATGACATTACATATATGGTTGTAAATAAAATCATTAAATACAGTATTTTGAGCTTTTTATTATTGTCAGGAATTGAAATTATCTTCGAAAGCAGAATATTCTGCGAATTTACAAGAAACGACCTTTTCCTTGTATTCATTTATTACTGAATAACGCTATAGACGGTTTGTGTTCTGGGGTAATTCTAGCTTTAATGTTACAAATGGTAACCGAACATATGATAGTGCACTTCCTTGGTAGACCTACAACAGAATAATTTTTACTTAATAAATTGGTACCTATATCTAAAATAAAATATCAACAATATTAAGTAGTGAGTTTGTATAATAAAAAAATGTTTCTTTTTTAAACACAAATCTCTTTGAATACGATAGTTCTAGAAATAATTGGAGCTTAGAAAGTGTACTTACTGTTTTCGTATGTACGTTGCGAATTTTAGAGTCAAAAAACTTTATATTATTTAAATAAAGAATCATTAATCATGTTAGAATCCTCCTTAGGTAATTTTCTTTTTATCCTGTTTGTACTTTGGCCATTTAAAAAAAATCAAATTACAATTTCAAAATAAATTAAAATAATCTCGCAATCGAAAACGAGGTTAGGATTTAGATGGATAGATGAAACCACGTTGGTAGAGTTAGAGAAAATATTGCGCGATATCGCGATTATAATTTGAAAAACATTTCGATTGAGACGAAAGTTTATTGAAATAGTAAGTGTTTTATAAAAACTAAATTTAAACAAATATCGTTGTAGTTTTAATATTGTTACCTAAAAATTATACGATCTTAACCTTTAAATTGTCGGTTATCCGAAATTTCAATAATTCTTTATAAGAAGCGGCAACAAGGTAAAAAGATATCGACTACTGTCTGGAAGGTTATACATTAGCTAGTCAGATTTTAGGCTTCATTATGACGATGTTTAAGAGTTATTGCTCCGATGACAATAGCAGGAAATTTGTATTAAAAATAGGCATTCTGTTTTAATCCTAAAAGACAGTTTTAAAGATACAGTTCATCAAATTTCTAGAGGTGTTCGACGCCCAGACAGAGAACGCGCTACGTGTGACTAAGATAGCTATTGTACAGTCTGCTAAACAAGTTATTTTAAATAGTTTTTAATATTTTTAGGTAATTAAATTTTAAAAGTGTGGAATAGTTTAGGAATTAAATTGGTCTGATTGGACTTTCTTAGAACGTTTTTAAAAGCAGCTAAATATAGTATGTAGAATTGAAAATAATTATTATGCCATAAAAGGTGTTTTGGAATTCCTTCAACCTTTTGAAATTGAGTCAGAAAATATAAATTTTATAGGATAGCGGAAAATACCTATAATTTTTTTGTAGGCCTTTGTAAATCGTGGAAATAGTTTATATTTTATTTCTACCTTATTATTAATAACGGTTGTTTCTGAAACATTACTAAAATTTTCGAAATTTTGTTTTTCTACAAAATAATAAACTATACTATTTAGAAAAAAATTTATTTCTCTTATAATTTTATAAAAAATAACAGGGGAATATTTACATTTCTTGATCTATTAAACAAAACGATAAATTATCTCGACGAATGACACCATGTTCTAGTACGGAAGCTAGCTTTACATTTTTGTTGGTGGTTTCATGAGTTTCATATCAATTTTTTGTAATTGTAGTTTACACGTACATATACCTCTTAACACTTGTTTGCTTTATTAAAAAAGTGTGTTGTTGTGATTTACGTCAAAATAAGTCAAAAACAACTTGAAACCCCATATAAAATCAAAAAGGAGAAACGGAAAAAAATTGAGCCTCTAAATGAACACAACTCAGAAACAAA